ATAATTAATTTCCATTTTTTATATATATATATACTATTATATATAAATATTTTGTGAGCCGGGTCAGAAATGACCCCGGCACGGTGTGAGCAGAGTTAATTATCTATAATCGTGGTATAGGAACGGGATGCCGTAAAATATTAAGGATATCAGTTTTATACGAGTTAAATTTCGTGTTGAAGTCGTTGAAGCTATACGAAGATAGAGTCACGAATATCAAATTAAATCAAAGTTTTGGAAATGATTAAAAAGGGATTTTTTATTTATAAGATCAAGTAACGATAATTTGTAGGTTCTTTAATTCAGAATAAATGGTCTTCTTTGTGTCGAAGTGAGCGTTCCAAAACAAGTGGTTGCCGTTTTGTTGGTAAAATTGTTCCCAAATAGACTCCCTAACAGTGTTCATTATCGGAAGACAAAACATTCGAGTATACTTTAAACACAATAAGTAAAAGTAACGAAAGTTTCATCTTTGTTTATTTTAACAAAGTCTTTTTTGCAACCGTCTATTATTTCGAGGTCATTCAAAAGTAGCATTTTGAATTAGCCCTTTCCCGCCCTTTTATTATATTCTAAAGAAAAGTAGCTCGTTAGTTAGAAATTGTAAAATCACTTTTAAATGATATTCAATTGTTAGGGAAGACAAAATTTTTATTTATATTACTACATTTTATAAGAGAAATGATTTTTTACTGATCAACAGTTATTCCAAACGGTAGTTTTCGATGGACACCTTGTATATGTAGTATAAAGAATCTGGCTAGTAAGCAAATATTCAGGCTCTATGTAAAGACCCAGCGTTAATTAATACTTCTCTGAAGAATGGATTACTGGAAACTGAACCAACGTTTCTATAGCTATTCAGGTGTTCATGAAAGTATAGGTGTGATGAATGTAATGAATAAATTATTATTTTTCTTTATTAGAAATATTATTCAAAATATTATTTTAAAATATAAATTATAAATTTTATAAGTTATAATTTATAAATACATTTGTTAACATGATTCATTGTTGATTTATTCTACTTTTGTTTCATAATTTGTTTCATAAAATTAATTTGATTTGGTGATAATTTTTCTAATGAACATTCAAGAAATAAATCCAACAAAGAAATAAAAGTGATTAATTGACAAAATTAAACGAAGAATATCAACAAATATTTAGACTACGTTGTTCGACATTTAGATAATAATAATTTTAAACATATTAGAATATTCAAAGCTAGAAGTTATTAATTGCGTTAGAACTATAGTAGCTGCAAATTAAACATTTGCTAAGTTAATAAATGGGTTGTGAAATTCATTGAAAGATATGATTAAAGATATCGGTCATACTCGGTTTGTAATCTCATGGATAACCTATGGATTATTTTTTGTTCATTTTTACGTTAGATGTTAACACCTTTTAATCAGTCACGATGATCATTTTTGAACATTATGTTTTCATGTTTTTTATTAGAGTGTCATAAATATATTATTAAAAATTTTTTAAATTATATAAATTAGAATATTAAAATTATTATTATTGAAAAATATTAAAAATTATATGTAATATTAGAATATTATAAAATACATGGTATTTAAAACGGTTATGACATAAAATGTTCTTAAAAATAAATCTTCATATAATATTGGAAGAATTGAATTTTGAAATTTGATTGATTGTATTTTGATTAGACATTTCTTATTCCTTCTGGTGAATACTATAAGCTGCCATTGTTATTGACTTTTCTTTCATAATATTCTGATTTCTTTCATAATATTTGTGGACAAAATTATTCCCCTTATCTGCAACAATAGTTATTAAAAGTAATTATTAGTTTTTGAAGTATGTGTGAAAAATTTAAATAAATTTATATATTTTATATTTGAAATAATAAAAATTCGTAACTAATTAGTTCCTGCTAAAATAAATTCGTGCTAATTTTTTTATGTTTTTAATCACATTAGTTTTTCTTATTATTAGTACTATTAGTTATTATTATATTATTTATTTACGAATTAAATAATGTTCTTACGAAATTTGAGTCTATTTTAAGACAAGATTATTCAAACATTAATTTAGATTCAAACAAAATTACATTTGTTATTGATTTCATAGACATTATTAAATATGGTGATACAAAAATTATATTTAGATGAACGAAGTTTGCACTGTACAATATTTAATTTTATATTGCAAAATTTTTATCGAAATATTTATTTCACGATTTTTAAAATATTTTTTTCTTTCGAGAGATATTTTCAAATACTTTAAAACAAAGAAAATTTCCAATAGTCACAGTTTAAAATATGTAAACAGCTTATCGAATATTAACAGAGAAAAATAATTCGTCAATATTAAATTTCGGGAGCGGTATTTTTAAATCACCGAAGAATGAAATGATTTCTCTGTGAATCTATAAAATTTAAAAAGTAATAGAAATAACTGTATACAATAGTAAAAAGTCCTTGGATCGATGGTGCTCAACTGATATGCCAGGAAAACTGGAGGATAGTGCACAACGACAACTTTGTTACGTTCCTCCATTAAATGTTTCTCGATATAGTTAATTATAGATCTGATCATTCCAGTTTTAAATAAGTACATCTCATAGTAGCATGAATGTAAATTTTTTATTTTAAGTTTGTTTTTATATTAAAGATAGAAATTCTGAACTATATTTATGGTACCGTGGACTTTATTATCTTCAGGTTATTTATATTCTATTCACTCAAGTCTATTTTTATTATTACCTATTTTTATCGAAAATATGTATATGACGGTTA